TAGCCCATTCCAGCCTTGTGCAGGTCTACAATCTTGTCCCTGACATCCTTTGACAACTCTTTGGTCTTGCCCATATTGGTGAGGTTTAAATGGAAGAAAGAGGTTCTTTGGACAGGTGTCTTTTATACACATAACGAGTTGTCGTTAGGAGCACCTTCTTAAATTGACAGGACTAATCTGTGTACCATATGAGCACATAGCCAGTCTGTGGGAGCCAGAATTATTGTTGGCTGGTAGGGGATCAAATACTTATTTTACTCACTAAACTGCAACTCAAATTATAACATTTGTATCATGTGTTTTTTCTGGATTTTTGGTTGATATTCTGTCTCTATCATTTAAAATACACCTATGATAAAGATTATAGACCCTTCATTGTTTTATAAGTGGGCAAACTTACAAAACACGGAGGGGATGAAATAATATTTTTTTCCGTGTGTGTATTCTACACATACTCACACATGTATATATATATATTTATATTAGTTATTGCAAAATCAACAGGCTAACAACATATAAATTGTGTGTTCCGGTGTGAAAGCTGAAGTGGTTAGGATACACATTTTGTTATTTTCAAATGAACATACCATATAGGCTCTCCAGATGGTTTCCTTGCTTGTTTCAAACAAAGCATTCAGTTGTGCAGTTTCCGCTATAGAAAAGGAAAATAATATAGAAAAAGAAAACCTTACAAAAAGTTGAGCATTGTTTAAAGAATAAATTGTATAATAAACTGCTTTGTTTAATTTTAGAGACATAAGGAATGGTTAAAACCCCTGCCAGTACTTCTGTTGTACTGTACAGTCTCCTTCAGATATACCACCATCTACAGTACAAGGGCATGCCTGATTGGTAAAGTTGATTGTACAGAAATTGTACAGGCACATTGTAAAGTATGTAGTGAGCCTCAGCCAGTTGCCCATTGAAAGATTCCCTTCACCTTCTGTTTAGGTGACAACCATGAAACTTTGGACTTCCCATCGCTTTCAGTCCAAGCAACAATGGTCACTGGGGCAAATAGAAGGGATGACTCTCCCCAGCTGGCACACAGGCAAAATTTAAGTTTTAGCCATTCCTTTTCTATTTGGAAGTTGGGATTTGGAGTTATGCATGGGACAAAATTTTCAGCAATAACCTACAAAAATTATATAAAATTTCAGTTCTCTTAAGTTAATGAAATCAGATATTTCAATTAGTATTTGCTAATGCTTCTGTTGCATAGAAATTCATGATACCTAACCCTTTGCAAGCACAGTCAATAACAGAGATGTAGGTTTTTATCTCCTCTGTGTCAGGGCAGGAACGCTGGAATGGGCAGGCAGGCCTATGGTACGGTCACGCTGCGACTGACGACAGCCACTACCCACAGACCAGAGTCCCTCAGGGCGCGGAGTCTAAGCCCCAGGCTACCCTTCACCAGGGCCCCTGATGGTGGGGATGGACTTGACGCAGCCTGAGACCAGGTCACGGCCCCCGAGTGACCCCAGCTGCGATAACGACTGCCGCCAATGGCGTACAGCTGGTGGGAGCTAGATGGGAACACGAGTAGAGTAATCAGACAAGCCAGGTCAATAACAACGGAGCAGACAGTACTAGACGGTAGGCAAAGAATACTCAGGTCACGGGCCGGGTTCAGCAACGGAAGGTCAGGTAAAGGGTTAACGCAGAGAGTAGTTTTGTCCAAGCCGAGTCGGTTACCAGGAGAGCAATGGGAACAACACAAGAGCTTGCAACAGGGCAACATACAGGACACAAGTGCAGAGCACACTTGCAGACAGCAGGTTTAAATGTGCTCAACCACACCCTTCTGAGGAGGAGCCGCAGAAGCCTGAAGGCATAAAGGTTCCCACCATGCTTTGCAGAAAACCAAGATGGATGCCAGCTCATGGAGATGCACCAGCTCTTAAGAAAGGTAGGACCTTGACAGTCTGACACATCTGGACAGCCTGCAGTGCTCCCTCCATTGCCTCTCCTGGCCCATCACTGTGTTCCCTTCTGCTGTCTGCAAGTCTCTGTGAGTTACAGCGGGGAGCAGTTCAGTTGCATCTCCCTGTGGCAAGCATCAGAACTCACTGCTGTTACTGATAATGCGTAGGCACTACTAAACAAAGCTTTAGGTGTTGATTTGAAAGCTTCAAGGGCAGCTTTGGTGAAGTCAGAACCAGTAAATGGCCTTCTACAGAAAGCCTCTGACACTCCTAAAAGTGTCAAAGGGTGAAAAAAACTAAAACTATAATAGGTAAAAACCATAATATATTGATATAGCAAGGGCAGCATTCATATGTGCTAATTTCATATATGTGAACAACCTAAAAAACATTATCTGATGAGAATGCTTCTTAAAAATCTCCTTCTGAAAATGCTGGTTGCTGGCTGCAAACCCTCTTGTATTTAGGACAGCAAGTCAGCATGACAACCAAGAAATTAGCACTTTTGCAGCAATTGCAGCCCATAGTTCTATAGTTGCCACAGTTCTCTCAAGTAGTATTTGTGAGTTTCCATTTCTATACTTAAACACACAATAACCCTGGACACAGCTGCCTACTCCTCTTGTCCCTCCCCTTGCCCATAACATACAGAGTAATAAATGATAACCCAAAAGCTCCAATAAAAATGTAAAGTGAGACACACCAATGGAAATAGGAAATGTACAAAACTGGTACACCAAGTTAACTTGATATCCATTATGACCGTTAAACTTTAGAATGGCATTAATCAGTCACTTGAGTATAGTATACCTAGTACACCTATGAATAAGATATGGAATACTAGACCAACCTACATATGTCTAATACAATAAACCTTTATCTGCTTGAATGGCTATGAGTGTTTTTTTTTTTGTTAAAAGAACCGAACATAAATCCTACTGTGAAACGGTGGGAGGTATTTACTAAAACTGCATGATGCAGCTCTGCATAGAAACCAATCAGCTTCCAGGTTTTTACGGCAAAGCTTAAATGAACAAGCTGAAGTTAGAAGCGGATTGGCTACCATGCACAGCTACACCAGATTCTGAGTGCAACAGTTTTAGTAAATCTACCCCACTATTTCTAAAATATCACTGAAGTAGTCTACTATGAATGAGGTTGGTAGGTATCAATCCAAGGTAACTCATCCTTCTCTTTCACATGTTGCATTTTCATACAGTGAAGGAAATAAGTATTTGATCCCCTGCTGATTATGAATGTTTGCCCACTCACAAAGAAATGGTCAGTCTAAAAATCGAATGGTAGGTGTATTGTAACACTGAGAGACAGAATAGCAACAAAAAATTCAAAAGAAATGCATGTCTAACAAATTATGCACTGATTTGCATGTTCATGAGGGAAATAAGTATTTGACCCCCTATCATTCAGCAGGATTTCTGGCTACCAGGTGTCTTTCATACAGGTAACAAGCTGAGATTGGAAGCAGTCTTTTAAAGGGAGTGCTGCTAATCTATTTTTGTTATCTGTACCTGTACCTTGTTACCAGTGCATAATTTGTTAGACATACATTTCTTTTGAATTTTTTGTTGCTATTCTGTCTCTCAGTGTTACAGTATACCTACCATTCGATTTCTAGACTGATCATTTCTTTGTGAGTGGACAAACATTCAAAATCAGCAGAGGATCAAATACTTATTTCCTTCACTGTAAATATTTGCAGACACCCTCTATGTTGGCAAGTTATCTTTTCCTCATGTGACCAGTTAACTTGAAATGTATGAATTGAACATTACTAATGTAAAAACAGGGTCCTGAAGCCCTGTTCACACTGATGCACTTTTACCCCACTATAACGCACGGCTTCTGCTGTGTCAAATCACAGCAGAAGTGTGCGCCCCCTACAACGGAAGTGCAAAATCAGCAAAAACACACCTTCCATTATAAGTCAATGAAAACGCACCATGGTGTGTTTTTTTGAGGCACGTCAATTTTTTCTCTGGTCACAAGGGATAAAACCGCCTGCAAAGCACATTTAAAACAAATATGCGATGCATTACGCGTTTTTAATTTAATGCGATGCATTAAAAGTGCGATATGCGTTTTCAAAAGCCAAGTGCATCAGTGTGAACCGACTCTAAGAAGTATTGAAAATTCCAAATATTCTTGCCATTAAATCCTGGATATGTTTTAACTGTCCTTAAATAACAAAAAGGCTAAACACGGAGGATAAAGGTTGAAATTTTGTGTGAAAAGATACCAGCAAAAATGCCCAGGTGGAAAGGCCAGACAGATCTCTTTAGACTAGAATGTCTTGACCAGTTAATTTATGGCTTGGCATACTTACCGTCCTGCTGTGTGTCAAAGACAAGGACTGTAACATTGGTTGATGGATTCTTGGGTTTAGCAACATGAAATAGTGAGATCGCTGCATGGAAGAAAGGCTGAGAAGACTGCAGATCCTTTAGAGTAGTATTGGGAGGAAGGGATGGATCCAGTACCAACATTGGAACCCGAATACAGTGTGTAAGAAGACACTCCAGCATCTTATCACTAGAACTGAGCAATGGATGCATTAGGCAATGAACAACGTTAGTCTGTACATAACAAATATAAGGCTTACAGATGTGATAGGAAACCAGAAGACACACAGAGAGTGGCTCAGCCCCACCCCTGCTTCCTCCTTACTGACTGTGAGGTGTGCTGCTGTGTCTCAGCCAATGAGGAGGGAGAGACCCGGGAGAGCTGCTGCTCTTGTGCACAATCGCTGGATCGAGATCGGGCTCATGTGAGTATCGGGGGGAGGGAGATTGAGGGTGGGGAGCTGCATACACTAAAGGTTTTTAACCTTCTTGCATAGAATTCATAAAGGTAAGAAACCTTCAGCCTTTACAACCACTTTAAAACAGCAGCTTCAAGCAGGTTCTGTTCTTTTAAAATACATAGAGATTGTTTTACTACACTGTACACTTTACAAAGTTATTCATTATTCATAGCAAATGAGGTGTGTCACCTCACCAAGCTCTTGTGCTTGCCTCGGGTAGATGCTGAGAGCCGGAAACAGGCAATTGCTAGCAAAGCAGCGGTCTCCTTGGGGGAGAAGGGGGGAATGCCCTGTTTGACATTGGAGCCATATGCACCTTGCCCCATCGAGAGCTGAATACTGCAAGAATAAAAAAATGGATCCTTCATAATGCAGAAGAGCATACCAAGTACACTATTTCAAACAGCAGCTCAAGTTGCATAAAATGAAGGGTTTAATATTACTTCATCACGGCTTCACGTTATTCACAAAGTGAACATTTACTTTACAAAATAAACAGTCTTTATTCCTTTAGTAAATGAACCCCAGCTGCTCCTTATAGGCTAAGGCACTTTGAAGAAAAAATTATAAATGCACATATTTTTGCTGCAACTGCGATCATTGGATTGCTGGTGTATTGCCAGGCTTCTGCAAACTCTTCCTCCATCTCTCTGCCCGTACCTCTGTACAGGATTTCAGCTACAGACCTAGAGGGAGTGTCAATGGACTACGAGTACACTGATTATTGCACTCATGTTCCATTGAAAACTACAAGTTTGTCTGCCGCAGTGGCAGACAGGAATTGTAATTTATTCATTCAGAGATCTCTGTGAATGAATGATGTGGCTGTGTAGAAGAGCTCCACACAGCTGCAAAAGAAGAACCCCCACAAACCATCATAGGGAAGGGGAGCACTTAATAACATGCTACACCCTAAATATGGGTTTCACATGATGCTAAAGGCAGAGTTAAGACTTTAAACAGAATGAGTTCCAGGGCCACCTTAGCATTTCGGCTATGGGCTATTCATTCAGCAATACTTTTATTACTTTTAATACAAAAGTGAGACATGCACTGAATTCATTTTTTTTTTTTGGGCGGGTTTTTTTTTTTTTTTGTACAAACAAGGTTTTCTTGGTGATATTGTCTTCCATGAAGTGTTTAATTATCTGTATTTGTAAAGACAAAAAGAAGGAAAACATATGAAAGGGTTGTAATACAAAACTTGGCAGAGTTCTGTACAAATAAACTGCACATTTTTCTCTTTCAGCTCCATGGGCTAAAAAATTGCCCCATCAAACCTAAAGAGCGTGGATGGAAGATTCACTTCTGCCGGCTATTGTATTCTGACAGCTGGCTAACAATGGCTGTGTCTGATTGGATATAGCTGCTGTTTGCCCAAAATGTGCTGCTTTTTTGAGTGTAAGGGTGCTGAATGAGTTGCCCATGGCTCAAATTTTAGCCAATTCATCAGGAACTGGACGAAATTTGCTCCATGTTTGGTCATCTTAACACAAATGAGACACAGACGTTTCTGTCTATCAGCACTACAAAAAGCAGCCAATACAGGGGCTCTCACAAATGGAAGTATCCATAAAACCTCTTCAGGGTAAGATGGTATGGATTTCTAATTAATTAAAAAAAATTAAACATTTTTCTAGCATCAGAGGAGAACTAGGCAGGGAACATTAGCTCACTGAGATAGGTTAGGTTGGCCTAGTGGCCCAGAGTGGAGATAATTCACCGTTCAGACAACAGAGTGGGGTCCTCAGTCAGAGACAGCTGCCTATACATCTGCTCCCTTTTCAGATCTGCAATCACATAATCTGACAGAGGGAAGTTATCCAGCACCAATTTTTTTTTGGTGGCTATGAAAAGTCATGTGACTGAACAGAGAAAGCTGCAAAGGAAGTCAATGTTGGAAGAGGTGAACAGGCGTGTTGCAACAACCTACATCTCCCACACATTTTTCAGTCTGGTCAAGTATCAGAACACTTATTCAAGGCACTTCCCTATGTACTTAGAAAATGTATATGAAGTGTCGTTCTCTGAGAATCATATGATGTAAGTAAAGCATATAGTTGACGCAAACACCTAGTGCATTAGCCAAGGTTTATTAAAAGTGTAAAAGGACAAAAAATATACTCACAAACATAGCATGTGTGCAACGCCTATAAGGCCATATAGCAATAGCTCTGAGGAAAGGGATTCGTCCCCGAAATGCGTCAGCAGGCCAACCACACCATCAGTCGGACACTCTGCCATCCTTGTGGCCATCTCTATGGCCTTATAGGCTTTACACACATGCTATGTTTGTGAGTGTATTTTTTTGTCCTTTTACACTTTTTTAATAAACCTTGGATAATGCACTAGGTGTTTACACCACCTGTATGCTTTCTTCCAGTTTGTTTATCTCCCCATTTGAGAAGATCTGCATCTCCGGAACGTTATCCATAGGCTATTCATGCTTCTGATCCCCTGGCCATGCCCTGGCATTGGTTCCCTCAAGGCGCTGCAGAGTTTACACATAAGTAAAGCATATCACTTCATTTTAATGCTCTAAGTTTTAAATTTTCAATGAAAAAATGGGTAACCTCAACACAGACCAGCAGGGGCATCCCACATGGAAAATGTGGGGGCTATTTACTAAAACTGGAGAGTGCTAAATCTGGTGCAACTCTGCATAGAAACCAATCAGCTTCCAAGTGTTGTTATTGTCAAAGCTTAACTGAACAAGATGTAGGTAAAAGCTGATTGGCTACTACGCACAGCTCCACCAGTTTCTGAGTGCACCAGTTATAGTAAATTTCCCCCTGTGATTCTACCGCTTTTAAAGCTGCCCAGCTTTGTTATGCCTGACTTCAGAATCCCATTGCTTTTCAGGTTTTCCAAGGACAGACTGGGTATGCATGCACAGCCCACTAAAGAAACCAGAGGGTTTAGGAAAGCTGGTTGTGAAACCTGAATAAATCTACAAACACACCAACATGTGCAATCTATTTGCTTCCCTGTGAAAACATTTGATTGACGGGAGTTCGAAGTTGTGGAAAGAGGTAAGTATAGCAATGTTTCAAATGACAAGAGACAGGGCAGGCAATGAAGGAGACAGGGGAGGCAAGTGTATTTCCTTACACTTTCTCAATGAAAAATTAAAATCTCTTTCAATTTGTAAACAAAATCATAGGCCGTTTTATAGATTTGGGTAAGTCCTTTACCAAAGACAATGGCACTTGGGTAGCCATTCCTACACAAAATACATTATGTGAATGAAACACTTAAAGCCGTAAAGGATACTTACCCCTTTCTTGTTGGCTCAGTTCTATTGCTTCCCAGAAGATCCCTAAAAAAATGCAGTACATGTATCATTACTGAATTAAGTATTAAACAAAATACATCAGTTTTTCTATACTTTAGTCTGTGATCAGGTTCAGCATTAAGCATATGTGCTGGTCATGAACATGCAGATGTTTTTCATTCAGCCAGTAAACTGAACAAAAAAATCTACCAATTTCCTCTTTATGTTGTACAGCATGGACAGCTGAATCTCCCATTGTGGCTTTTGTATTTTGAAAGCCCTCTAACAATTTTCCACATTGAGCAGGAAGGGCTTGAGAGGGTCACCAGTCTATGGCCATGTTAACAATTTTATCGACACAGGAACCAATGAGAGAGGTTTTCCAAAATATAATTTTGGAATGGTCATTGAGGGAGTGTCATTATACAAAACACAAACGAGTATGAAGAAAGTTTCAAGTCTATTTGATATTGCTATATTAGGTGTTTTGACATGGTCATTCTATACCACACACAATAGGTGCTGCTTTAAGAATCATGAAGACAAAACAAATACAGCGCTCAATTCACAAAAAGTTAAAATAGTACTAAAATTTTGTTTTAAAATAATAAACATGTTATACTTACCTGCTCTGTGTAATGGCTGTGCAAAAAGCAGCCCGATCCTCCTCTTCACGGGTCCCCGTACTGGCGCTCCTTGCTACACCCCCCCCCCCCACCTGTCAAGTCCCCCCATAGCAAGCCACTTGCTATGGGAGCACTCGTGCGTGCTTGCTCCCAAACCGTCGACCCTGCCTCCCATTCCCTCATCACTGGCTCTGCTTGACAGCTGTATCTGAGCCACTGAGGAGCGAGAGATCCAGGAGAACCTCTGCTCTTGTGCACACTGCTGAATTGAGATCAGGCTCAGGTAAGTATAGGGGGGGGGGGGTAGTAGGGAAAGCTGCATGCAGAAGGTTCTTAGCTAGCTGCATTGAATCAATTAAGGTAAAAATCCTTCTGCCTTTACAACCACTTTATATATCACATGAGTATTACTCCTGCAGTATTTATGCCAAAAGCAGTCAATTCACAAAAAAATAAATACTGCATGCGGTAATTTTTTATTTTGCGGTATTGAACGTGTTTTTATCCACCTTATTTTACCACAGACTGGACCTTTGGCTGAAGGTAAAAATGAAACATTTAACAGTGGTATTTATACCACAGCTAATTGTGACAGTTCAGCTCATGGATGCTGGTTGTTAAGGAGCTGGCACCCGACGGAAATCTAGTACCCATGACTCATCCCTGCTGATAGCAGAATATGAAAAAAAAGAGTCATCAGTAAAAAAAAAAAAAATGGCATGCAGCCCCTTCCCCCCCCCACCAATCCATACCAGGCACGTTTGGTGTTGTAAGAATTCTGGAGGGGAACCTCTCTTCAAAAATTTAAATATCTAAAAAAATGGCGTGAGATCCCCCCAAAAGCCATACCAGACCCTTATCTGAGTATGCAGCCCGTAAGGCCAGGAAAGGGGGGAATCGAGCGTGCACTCCCCCCACCCACCTATATTGTGACCTCCCCTGGGAAAGCACCTTGTCTCCATGTTGATGAGGACAAGGGCATCTTCCCCACAACCTTCACATCATTGATAGTCAAGCACACATTGAGCAGCTGGGTTGCCAGCTTTAGTACAGATAGCAGCAGGGAGGAGGATGGAGTTGGAGAAGGTGGGGCTGTGCTCTCTCCCTCCTCTCTGTATACAGGAGTTAACACAGGATCCCTCACAGATCCGACTGTACAGTGTTTGATTACCGCTCCCTATCTCCTCCACACACATCTGTTTGCAGAATGCAGATGTAACCACAAAGCAAAGGCACCCAACATACCAGGAAGTATGTTGGATGCTTAAGATTGTTTGGCAGTCATAGTTCTTGAAGAGAGTGAAGATCAGAGTCAGAGTCCACTCACTGGAGAGGGAATTAAGATTCTTTTTTTTTTCCACACAGTTTCTTTTTCAATTTTATTGGATAGTGACAGGCTCATTTTAAACATTAAGGTACCTTAACGCCCTCTGTTCTTCTTCCATCTGTTCACGTACATCCCGAAGCTGTTTCACAAGTTCTGGATCTGAACCATTTACCCAGGTATATACCACATCAATAGGCATGGGGAGACATAGCCTGGAAGGGGCCCAGAATGATAAAATATCAGCTTTAGAAAATATGCATAGCAAAATAAACATGAGATATTACCTCCTATATAAGCCACATGCTAAGTGATCTTTTACATTTTCAATTCATTGTCTAATAAGTCAGCGATCAACTAAAGAAGCACACACAGCAAGCTGACATCATTGCTGCTAACTGTGAGGCATTGACTTAGTGTTGTCAGACCACAATAGGAAGCGCTGCTACTGGCAGGATCTTCATGTAAGAAACTTGGCAAAAAAAAATTCTTTGTTTAAAAGAGAAGTATGGCCATACTCCTCTTCTGAGTAGCAGGAGTTCACTTACTTGTTCTGTCCTGTGACCTAGAATCAGCCAAGAGTGGGCCAAAATTTGCTGTTGGCTTACGTCACAGAGCCACTCTCTATTGGTTTACATCACAGAGCCACTACACTCCAGACTCTGGAAGGATTCACACTGATGCCTGACCAGCAGTTAGCTCTGCCTCTCAGCGCACTGGTGAGAGGCTGAGCCAGCTACTCCCTCTCACTCTCCACCTGCTGCACCACTGAGTGCTGAAGGGGCAGAGCAGTGAGCGATGATTCGTAGTCACCGCTCTCCACTCCAGGTAAACTAAGAACTGAGTGATCAGTGTCATGTGATCTCTCAGTTCTCAGGCTTGCAGCCAGTGGGAGACTGCTGCAGTATTGGTCTGATGTTGTAGCAGGGAATGTATGTTTGTTATTTCCACACTTCTCCTTTAAAATCAGAAGTTTTAAGAACTTAAAAATAATTATCTTTAGCAAAGATTATCCGTTTTATATTAATAATTATGCTAAGAAAGTTAATGTACACTGTAAATTGCCAGCAGCTTCATTCCTATTTCTACTTGCTGGAGGCTGCCATTTTGCTGAAACCCAGAACCCCTGAGCAACAGTAAATCTTTAGGCTGTCAGCAAATTGGCCTCTAGTGGCTCTGATTTTCGGCACAGTGCGAAAAAACTAGAGAGCACCTGAGCATGTGTAGAGCAGGATGAGACAGTGTATTACTGGATTTTAAACAGTATAGACACTTACAATGTCTTGAAAAAGTATTCATACCCCTTGATATTTTCCACATTTTGTCATGTTACAACCAAAAACGTAAATGTATTTTTATTGGGATTTTATATGACAGACCAACACAAAGTGGCACATAATTATGAAGTGGAAGGAAAAAAGGATAAATGTTTTTTTCTTTTTTTACAAATAAATATATGAAAAGTGTGATGTGCATTTGTATTCAGCCCCCTTTACTCTGGTATCCCTAACTAAAATCTAATGGAACCAATCACCTTCAGAATATGAGTCCACCTGTGTGTAGTTTAATCTCAGTATAAATACAGCTTTTCTGTGAATCCCTCAGAAGTTTGTTAGAGAACATTAGTGAACAAACAGCATCATGAAGGCCAAGAACACACCAGACAGGTCAGAGATAAAAATTGTGCAGAAGTTTAAAGCAGGGTTCGGTTATAAAAAAATATCCCAAGCTTTCAACATCTCATGGAACACTTTTCAATCCATCATCTGAAAATGGAAAGAGTATGGCACAAATGCAAACCTACCAAGACATGCCCATCCACCTAAACTGACAGGTCAGGCAAGGAGAGCATTAATCAGAGAAGCAGCCAAGAGGCCCATGGTAACTCTGGAGGAGCTGCAGAGATCCACAGCTCAGGTGGGAGAATCTTTGCACAGGACAACTATTAGTTGTGCACTCCACAAATCTGCCCTTTATGGAAGAATGGCAAGAAGAAAGCCATTGATGAAAGAAAGCCATAAGAAGTCCTGTTTGCAGTTTACAAGAAGCCATGTGGGGGACACAGCAAACATGTGGAAGAAGGTGCTCTGGTCAGATGAGACCAAAATTGATCTCTTGGCCTAAAAGCAAAATGCTATATGTGGTGGAAAACTAACACTGCACATCATCCTGAACACACCATCCCCACAGTGAAACATGGTGGTGGCAGCATCATGTTGTGGGAATGATTTTCTTCAGCAGGGACAGGGAAGCTGTTCAAAGTTAATGGGAAGATGGATGGAGCCAAATACAGGGCAATCTTAGAAGAAAACCTGTTATTCATGTGTTAGAATGGCCCAGTCAAAGTCCAGACCTAAATCCAATTAGGAATCTGTGGCATGTATTGAAAATTGCTGTTCACAGACGATCTCCATCCAACCTGACAGAGCTTGAGCTATTTTGCAAAAAAGAATGGTCAAAATGTCACTTTCTAGATGTGCAAATCTGGTAGAGACATCCCCAAAAAGACTTGCAGCTGTAATTGCAGCGAAAGGTGGTTCTACAAAGTATTGACTCAGGGGAGCTGAATACAAATGAACGCCATACTTTTCATATATTTATTTGTAAGACGTTTTGAAAACCATTTATCATTTTCCTTCCGCTTCTCAATAACGTGCCACTTTGTGTTGGTCTATCACATAAAATCCCAATAAAATACAACTACGGTTTTGGTTGTAACATGACAAAATGTGGACATTTTCAAGGAGCATGAATACTTTTTCAAGATGCTGTAGCTATACCTGCAATAAGTGCCAGCCTGAAGTGATCTAGGACTTAATTTTCTGACTAAAGTTCCCTTTAACCACTTCAATACCGGGCACTTACACCCCCTTCCAGTCCAGGCCCATTTTCAGCTTTCAGCGCTGTCGCACTTTGAATGACAATTGCGCGGTCATGCAACACTGTACCCATATGAAATGTTTATGATTTTTTTCACACAAATAGAGCTTTATTTTGGTGGTATTTAATCACCACTGAGTTTTTTATTTTTTGCTAAATAAAACAAAAAACACCTGAAACGTTTGAAAAAAATGCACTTTTCTTCGTTTCTGTTATAAGGACGGGTGGAAAGGTGTTAAGAAAACTTTATACTGTAAGACATGGACAAAACATACTGAAAATAGATTTTTTTTTTAATTGTTATCTACATAATGAATACTACAATCAGATAGGGAAAACAAATAGCTGTTCATTAAAGTAAGTCCTTGAACCATGTCAAGCTCTTTCTACAATGATAAACGTTTTCTGATATGCAGCCAAAAGGTTCCACAAATGAATGATATGGCCCACTCTAGACTGTGTACAATACTTAGTGCCAGAGTGCTGGGATTAAAGAAAATAGAAGCCTAAACTAATGACTACTTAGATGTGGACAGAAAACTATTCAACCCTTTCATGCTTTAACTTGCTACATATTTACTGCACAAGAAACAAAGTAATTATTAATGCACAGTCACTCATAATAAACATCAGAATAAACAAAAGTTAATCTTTATCAGCACACGCAGGTTACCTATTCTGAAATGATTTCCCAGCAATGTTGTCCCGGTAAGTATCAAACAGAACATGATACTGATCCCGACTCCACTCCAGCACCACCTAGAAAACACACACACACATATAATACATCTTTGTCTAGTTTAGTTTAGGTTCATGGACATGGATGCAGATGTTCAATACAGATGCTGCTCTGCACTGCTGGTACTAGCTCTATTCGTTGTATTGCTCAACCCGTATTCAAACAGTGGAGGAAAAAGGTGAAATCTATTATCCCGAAATGCAGAGAAATACCATTTAGGAAAACATTTAATAGTGATCTTTTATCAATATGTGTTAAAGGGACCTAGTTCTTGGATACTCCAATGTAAAGTTTTTTTACCACTCTTAAGTGACACTAAACAATATCCCTATTCTAAAAAAAAAAAAATCAATACAGATTTACTACTGTAATTCATTTTTCATGAAATTGCTTCTAATTTTTTTCTGCCTCCTTGTAACATCCTTAGTAAGCTCCCAAACATTTCCTTTACACCCTCACTTCTGTTTGTTTGGAACAAGCAGCACACTGCTCTATATACACTACAAATTCCATAGTCCTTGACTCTAGTCTATTATTTTGAAGCATGCAAGTTACAAACATTAGTGATAATGACATCTGAATTTAAATGAACTTGCTAAAGCGTATATGAGGTTTTAGTAATAGGGCTCAAGGTAAAGCAGAACTTCAGCCTGACCCTAGGTTTGCACCTAAGCGTTTTGTGTTTTGCAGAAACGCACTACAGTCAATTTAACATGATTTCCTATGGGACACATTCACCTGGTGCGTTTTTTGGAAAGGGTCAGGGACTTTTTTTTTTTTTAAACCACAAAAAGTAGCATTTTTGATTCTATAGACTTCAAAGGAAACACTGCAAAAAAGCATGTAGTGTGTTTATGCCTAGCAACAAGAAAAAAAAACACAAAGCGCATCAAACATGCGTAAAAAATGCATGTGCAAAATGGACTGCAAAAAGCACTGCAGAAACAGATCATATGCAAACTGCATAGGTGTGAACCTAGCCTAAAGAGAAAATTCAGCATTATGCCCTCCTCTTCTACTTTTGGCATTTTTTCGGGGGGGGGGGGGTTGACAGGTACCCACTCCCACTTCCAGACGGATTGCCGTGGCGATTCCACCAGAAGTTCTCCCCCTCCAACCTCTGTCCACAACCTTCTGGGGCACGTCATAGGTCCGAGAAAGGTGCGGGATCAGTCACAAAGTGCAGCATGGCTCGAGTATGTGCACTGGGAAACCGGCTGTGAAACTGCATAGAATCACAGCTGGCTTTCCACAATAAACATAGACTGTCAAAGAGCCAGCACGGGTGAGGACAGTGCTGGATCCCTGGACAGGTGAGTGTCCTTTTATTCAGCAGCTACAGTGTTTGTAGTATTTATACAGTATTTGTAGTATTTATACAGTGTCTGTATTTATAGTATTTATACAGTATTTATAGTATTTATACAGTATTTGTAGTATTTATACAGTGTCTGTATTTATAGTATTTATACAGTATTTGTAGCTGTTGACTTTTAATTTTTCTCAAACAGATTGAAGCTCTTCTTTAAGTTAAAGGTTTAGTGTCAGATTAAGGGCTCGTTCACACTAGGCTGTTTTGCCAACGCTTGCCAAACGCCCCTATAGCGTTTGGCAAGCGTTGGTCCGGTGTTTGCGGAGCGTTTTTAACGCTCCGCAAACGCCGCATGCGCGGTTTAGCGGCGGTTGCTAGGCGTTTGCCGAGCGTTAATAACGCCCCACAAACGCCTATAATGCATTTGAGTGGTGTTACCGCTCCGCAAACGCCCCGCAACCGCGTCGCAACCGCACCGCAAACGCCGGCCGGGCGTTTGCGGAGCGGCACCATAGACGAGAATAGGAGGCTTCAAAGCCTCCTGACTCGACCAGAGGCGTCCATTTTGCCGCGACGCAAACGCTCCTGTTAGAACAGCACAATGTGCTGTAATGTGCAGAATTGGCAGAGGCGTTTGGGAAGCGGTAAAAACGCTTCCCAAACGCCTCTCTGCCGCCTGCACACAAGGCTAGTGTGAACGTAGCCTTTGTGTTACGGAATGAATTAACGTGTTGGGGAAAGGTCATATTAAGGGTTATTTTAGGGGTTAAGTTTTAGGATGACGGACTTTTTTTCCCTTACTTGTTTTCAGCAGTAAAACCCCAGCGCTGAAAATACCAGTCCCAAAAACGGTGCACAGTAATATAATGCAAATAAAGAAGACATGAGTTTTCTAACAATCAGCAGACAAATTATTTTACAGTTAAAATGTCAGCAGAACTGGATTGACTTGTTTTACTTCCCTTTTCACAAACCAGTTTGTTCATTATTTCATCACTTCTTACATTAAGCGGAGGGGTCTCTGGCAGATAGAAACACTGTTCTTGTGAGATCTACATTGCCCAACACTTTGTGGACTGTTAAAGCAGAACTACACTGCATCTGAGCACCACAAACCACTAAAAACAAAAAAACACTACTTAAATCAATAATAAGAAAATGCAACCGAGCGCTCATAAAACCAGCAGCTAGAACACTCAAAGGAATCACAATGACCTCGCAAGACAAACTGTAAAATATAGTGCAGCGCTAAAAAATGAATAAATAATCATATAGTTCAATAAATGTTCATAAAATTTTGTGCATAATCATGAAGAGCTTCCTCTTTTGAAATACACTGATGCCAAAAAATCATATAGCAGAAATGCGCACTCACCGACCGCGCATTAAAAATGCGCATAATTGACCATTACCCGAATGGCTGGCAGCAGGTGGTACATCCCTCGGGGGTAAAGCATCAGCCTTGGGTGAAGTAATACACAGCAGGGCTCATAAATCTCCTCAAGAGCGAGTGGACAACCTAGATGAATGGGTTCCCTCCTCTGGATGATGGATGAACTGACAGACTGCTGTTATGGATCTGAAACCCTCAATAGAGGGTCAAAAACAAAAGGGAGTGCCAATAGTGCAGTAGGTTGATGCTTTAATTTGGTCACATAAAAACAAGGGTGCAAGTACAAATAGAATTGCCAAATGAAACTGCCAGATGATAAGAAAATTGATATTGTACTGACCCAGAAGTAAAATGGCCGCCGGACCTCCTCGTGGTCGCGGCGGTGGATGACGTTGCGGCGGTGGATGACATCACACGTGCTGTCGGCTCCTCCTGAGGCCTTTCGTGCTATGGCACTTCATCAGAGGGAATGTACCACCTGCTGCCAGCCATTCGGGTTGATGGTCACTTATATGCGCATTTTCAATGCGCGGTTGGTGAGTGCGCATTTCTGCTATATGATTTTTTGGCATCAGTGTATTTCAAAAGAGGAAGCTCTTCATGATTATGCACAAGATTTTATGAACATTTATTGAACTATATGATTATTTATTCATTTTTTAGCGCTGCACTATATCTTACTATTTAAATCAATGTAATATTTAAAATAAACTCACGCATCCATCCACACCTCCACACTTTATTTTGCTGAGAAATTGCTTTGAAAAACATCCCCTAACATTTAGCCATCTTAAAAGAGAAGTATAGGCATATTTTTTTAAAATCATACTTACCTAGGAGGATACAGAATGGAGCAATCAGACACCGCTGATCACACAATTCTCCCCTCCGCTGTGAGTAGAGCATGGTGACAGTCACAGCTGTCTACTCGGCACCCGTCAGTGCTCACTAGAGCGATGGGCTGTGGAGGGGGCGGGAGTGGCTGGCTTAAGCTGTCAGCAGCTCGCTGCAAGGCTGAGCCGGGTACCAGTCCAGGCTCCTGGGTGGATACCAACCATATGGTTGTCACCTTTTCCCAGCTTGGACCGGATGAGTGACTGCACTCCTGTGATCCACAGGAGAAGTAAATTCAAACACGCTTTGGCTGTACTTCTTGTACTTAGTAAGGGCAGATGGTTCATATAGCATTTACTTCCCAAAATCCATCTGCCTTTAACCCAGGCTAAAAGGCAGGAGGGTGTGCTCAGCTGCAAAAACCCCTCGTCCCCTCCTGAAGAATCTCGGAATGTGTGACATCATCTGCCTAGGCCTGGAAACAGGAATTAACTGAAGAAATGCAAAAAATTTTTTTTAAAACAAGTAAATCTACTATACTTTCCTACCTATCTACTAAGGGTCCTTTCACACAGGCGTTTAATTTTTTTCATCAGTTCAGTCACGTTTTTTCAAAGAAAAAAACAGATCAGTTCTCATCTGTTTTTCATTCATTTACATTCATTTTTTCACATTCTTTATCAATGCAAAAACGGATGCATCCGTTTTTTTGTCCGTTACGTTTTTCTTTCATTCAAAAAAACGGATGTTAACGCATGTGGACATTAACGGATGTAAACAGATGATCATCCTCTTACTTCTGCTAGTCCATAAAAATACATGGGTGTCCGTTTTTCATCTGTAAGCGGACAGATGAAAAACAGACATATGGAACGCCCGTGTGAAAGGACCCTATTGCTAACAGCATAAGGATTAACAATAGTCATTGTTGATTGAGAGAGTGAAGTTCCGCTTTACAGTAACGGCTTTCAAACCACAACACTTCAGATAGAATATCTTATCAGTGTGACTAACAAAACAGATGCAAAGAACAGCTATTCAATTCTTTGGTTGGAGATTACTTTTCAAAGACACACAAACTGGGCAATACATTGACAGCAGAGTACTGTGAAAGTGTGGTGCTTTATAAAACCTTATTTTTTCACAGCAGCACCAAATCAATGGAAGATGAGATCTGAATGGTTGCCATGGGCCAAGAGTTCCTTCTACCTTTTTTTTCAATACTCTACAGCAGCCTTTCTCAACCAGGGTGCCCAGGCACCCTGGGGTGCCTTGAGGTTCCTTCAGGGGTGCCTTGGCAAAATGTCTAAAATTTGCCCAGAGCTTATATACAAGTCAGCGGGTGGAACACGCCTGCCTTTTAGTTACACAAAGCCACAGATTTTCATTGTGCACCATTACGACCTTCTAGCCGTGGGAGTCCTGACAACCAATGACATCATCAGTTGATAAGGAGGATGTCAGTTGCCAGCACAGCATCC